TGATCGGACCCCCCCAAACAAAAAAAAATTTTTGCTATTACAGAAAGATGGAATATTCCTAAAAGCAAGGTCCATTTATGTACTTGTCCACGATATTGATTCTAATATCATAAAATGGGTGCGAGACTAAGGATACAATTCAGGCACTTCAGGACTGTTGATGACATGTGGGCCAAATTTCGTGTCAATGTCATTATCAGTACTATATTTACGCTTGTCTTTTCCAAACGACCAAGAGTGCATCTGTCGATTTTTACAAGGTCTGATTAAATTGAGCAGAGAAGTGCCATCAAATTTTGTTTGCGGAATGAAATTTCATCTGCGGAAACGTTGAGGATGTTGCGGAAGGCCTTTGGTGATTCTACCATGTCCCCGAAAAATGTTTATAAGTGGTACAAAGACTTCCAACACGTCAATGAAGTGAAGGAATTAGTGCTCAAAAATCGTCGGTTGACTGTTAGAGACCTTATTAATATGATCGGAATATCAGAAGGATCTCTGAAAACTATTTTGAAAGACCATTTGGGCCTACGAAAAGTCAAATCTCGTTTGGTACCGAAAACGCTCAATTTCTTACAATTTCTTCGTGACCATTTCGACAAGAATTCGACGCATATCGTTCCGCAACCACCGTATTCTTCTGATTTGGCTCCGTGTGACTTCTGGCTATTCCCAAAACTCAAGAGATCAAAGCGGAATCGACGAGGTCGATTTGGCCTGTTTCGAGGATTTGAAAAAGCGTTGGCATAAGTGTATTTTATCGGGAGGGAATTACTTTGAAGGGGATCAAATTGATTCAGGAGAATAAATAAAGAATTTTCACTTTACAAACAAATTCACCTTACTTTTTGCCCACAGTAGTACATAATAAAGCGATGCAAAAAAAAATTTAACGGCCTAATATTGTGCCAGAAATGTTAGTATCAATTGCTTTAGGAGCTGCAGAGAGTCAGTAGTAGATACTATAGAAAACAGACTATTATAGTCAGAACAAAGTACTCTGAAAGGCTCATGTACGTTATAATTAGATATACAATGATTTAAAACTAAAGGAAAATAATTTCTAGTAAATCTAATCTAACGCATGGTCAATGGGAACTAATGGAACAATGTATTAAACTTTTCAAACCATTCGAAGAGATTACAAAAATAACCAGCTTAGGTATCTTCTGCATCTCTGAAGTGATTACACATGCAGTTACGCTATTAAAATACCTAGGAAAGGCAGAGACAGCTGATAGAGTACCAAATTTAGTTGAAAAGCGATTTAATTTGAAAGAAAACAACAAATATTTGGTCGCTACGTTTCTTTACCCACGCTTCAAAACAAGTTTTTTAGGTGTTGTTCAAGCAGAAAGAGCAAGACAAAAGATTCTTTTCGAAGCTCTGAAACTATGTTGTGAACACTGTGGCAAATGAGATGGATTTTTTTTATCGCCTAAATCGGAAAGCTGATCCTTACAAGTGGTCGTCGCAAATAAAAAACAATACCCAAAACTCTCGAAATTTGCCAAAATGTACAGTGGTGGCCGTAAGTATTTTGTCAAAATAAAAGTGAAATATACTCGAAACCTGAACTTGCTTCTTTTAACTTTTGGTATCGATGGAAAGGTAATTCAAATGCCGTTTGAATGATACCATACTTTTCTCAACTTATTCGATATTTATTGAAAAGGGCCATTTTAAACAAAAAAGTCAAAAAAAAACTTTTTCCCTCGGCTTCAAAACTAAAATTTTTGGATGCAAAAAGTTTCTTTAAACAAAAATAATAGGAACTGCAAAAAGAATTTTTCAAAAATAATTTTTCTTCTTCAAGTTCAATATCTATTAATTAAAATGTATTAGGCTTTTATCACAATGCTTTAAAATTTTCTTCTCTTAGCTCTATACTCTGGGCGACTACGTATGGAACTTGTTACGCGAGGATACCTCTGAAAAAGCCAAAAAAAAATCATGAAAAAAATTCACTTTTAAAAAATAATAGTTTATTGAAAGTAAAAAAAATAATAATATTTTGTGTTAATTATTTTCATAATAATAAGTTCATAAAATTTACCATGAAAAAAGAAATCGTATCACTTAAAAGGTGGCATAGATATTTTTGTGCATAATTTATGCACCTTAACCGAAAACAATCAAAAAAGTAACTTAAACAAAGATTTTGTTATATTTTGTCGCACAGTGTTATTTCTGTAGAGTATTTAAATTTCGGTAAAAAAAAAGTTTAAGGTCACACATCTGACCTCTTTCTCTCTTTGACTTTAAAATAAAGGTCCCATTAAAAAGATTCAAAATAACTGTTTTTCAGTTAGGAATATTTTAGGCTGAAGGTTTTTTTAACGATTCTGGAATTACAAGAAAAAATTCTTGAAAAAATCGAAGGACATCATATAGCTGCCTCAAAAAAAATAAATAAAAACCAAAAAGAAAGCTAGCTTCCGCGTGCAGAAGAAGAAGTTATAGAAGAACGATATAAAGATTTCCCCTCTGAATACGATCAAATTGAATTGAACCCACCCCAAGGGGTAGCGTGCTTGGACGAACTCTGTATATAATTTAGACAGTAGACCTTCCGACTACCTCAAAAGATGCTAATGATACTGTCATTCTAAGTCAATCTAAGTGCCCCATAAGAGCAACGCAACATTTATCAAATAATAATCGATTCTACAGTTCCCATGAGATTATAGCTGGACTAAATGCAAAGAGTTTTGATGTCAAAATGGCTAGGAAAATATTGGATAATCGAAAAAATCGTTAAAAGGTATCGCTGAAGCCGTTCTCCATTGCTACCCATCACATTGTGTCACATCATATTTCCGTTCTGGAATTTTGAAAGGTGCCTTTCACCCCGAACGACCTATCGTTGAAAAAGTCGATGAAATTATGGATAAGATTTTCCATGACCGTCACATAAGCAGCCAAAACCACGCCAAGGAAGTAAACATTAATCATTAAACTGTTTTGAACCATTCAAAGGCTGGCTACAAAAAAAAGCTTGATGTTTGGGTGCCACATGAGTTGTATGTAAAAAATTTAATGGACCTCCTAATGAAAACTTAGTGCACTCTACGCGCAGTCTACGTTGCCTGCGGGGATGCACATTCAACCGAGGCCTGCCCTATAAATAAGGAGAACAATTCTGTCAAACAATGTAGTAATTGTGGGGGAAACCACATTGCAAATTATAGAGGTTGAAGGGTGGACTAGGCCAACATATAATTTCAGCTCCAAACATTTCTCCATATATACCATCGACCACGACCTCAGGAGTTCTTTTTGCACAGCCGTTAAATTAAATCATCGAGACTTACGCCTCAGCCTCTAAGCTAACAGGTCAGCAAGCCACTGTTGATTCAGTGCGGCAACAAACACTAAACCAGAGTCCAGAAGTTACTGCCCAACATATGACATATAACAACTGCCTAATGGTGTAGAAGCAATGCTAGTAACTATAACCAACACAATGGTAGCAAACGCTGCAGAAACTTATGCGCTTTGAAAATTTCCTTCTGGAGCTATCAATCAAACAAAACACTGTTTAGATGGTTTCCTTAAAAATACGTTTCTGGAATGCGAACACCATTTCACAGCACAAATACGAGCTCTCGCAGTTCCTAAATCAGTATGAGATATTGACGCCATGCTTATACCACAGACTTTATGAAATTTTTTTCAATTCAACTTGATATTCTAAAAATCATGCTCCTGGGATAAAAAACAACGACGTTATCAATTAGTTTCCATTAATTCTATATATATTTTTCGATGTTTCCTATGGCAGCTTTATGGTACAGTTATGCGATTTTGATAAAATTTAATTCGAAATTCAATAGTGGTTAGAAAACACCATCTGAAAGAAATCAAGTCGATTTAATTAAAAACAACGGCGTGATAATGTTTTTCCCGTAATTTTTTCGACCTCTAGTATGGGAGCTATCCAATATAGTCGCCCGATCCGGCCTGTTCCGATTTATATTCTGCGTGCAATAACTACACAAATTTTTGGTGCAATTTCATCAAGATAGCTTAAAAATTAGAGACTAGTTTACATAGAAACAGACAGCCGGTCAGTCCGTGATGTTGATCAAGAATAAATATACTTTATGGGGTCTGAGGTGTCTCCTTCACTGCGTTTCAAATTTTTTGACTGAAATTATAATACCCTTCGCTCTGCAAGCATATCGACGCATTTCTGCGAATGTATCGTATGTTGAAAAATCAAATTTTACAGAAGCTTTTTCTTTATTTTTGTATTTCGGTATTTTTGTGCGATTGCAGTATTTCCATGCAAATAAAAAAAAATTTGTACGGCCATACGATAATTTCGCGCCCACATTGTAACATACGATAAAATTGAAACTTCATTTTTATCGGAACTATAGGGCTTTCAGTTATAATATTTCACAGGGTAGTAAGACATTAGGTGCCTAACAGTTTTGCATTAAAATCTCAATTTCGAAAAAAGCGACATACGATACTTTCGCGGAAATGCGTCGATATAACGACGTGATAATTTTTTCCCGTTATTTTTCGATCCCTTTGGTAGGAGCTATCCAAAATTGTCGCCCGACTCGTTCCTACTTATAAACTGCCTGCAATTACTACTCAACTTGTGGTAAAGTTTTAAAAAGATAGCTTTAAAACTGAGAGACTAGTTTGCGTAGAAAGACAGACGGATAGACGTATTTCGATTCAGATCGTGATGCTGATCAAAAAAATGTATACTTTATAGGGTCTGAGATATCTCCTTTACTGCGTTGCAAATTTCTGACTGAAATTATAATGAACTCTGCTAGGGTATAATAACCTTATGGATAATTTTTAATTAGTATTGGTTAAGTTTAATCGAAATAGATTAAAAACTATTTACATAAAAAAAAATCAAAATACTCTCTGCAAGGGTATACTAAAAAAAAATTACGTTGCACCAGAACCAATTATAATGAAATAGTTATTTTGAAAAAAGAAGACCAAGCTTTATTTAAACATATACGTACTTTTGAAAACAATCACGGATCAGTTTGAAGTTTTGTGTAATTTTATTCACAAGTGCTCCCAAGCAAGAAACACAACTAGTAACTTCAGCTTGGTTGCGCGAAACAACCAACAGCATTAAATGCTCTTCCAAAGATGCTAAGAAAGATTCACTGGCATTGTTGACCAGTGGCACTACTTTTTCAAGAATATCCGCAACGGCACATATAAATTTTGCTGCTGTAGCCGAATGACATTTTATGTTGAGATAAGGCTCTATTGTCATAGCATGCCTAACCAGAAGTTGTGGCCGCACTTTAGCTAGCAAATGCAATGTAGTAATACAACCCAACATTCGCGCATTATCAGTATCTTCAAGTTCAATAAGTCGGTCAACTAGTCCATCAGCTAATTGTTGACATGCTAATACAATTTCCTGGGGAGGTTCTGTGTTTTTTTTTACGGGCTCTTGTACGCATCCATCAGATTTTAACAAACTGTCCTTGGGTTTGAAAATCTACATAAAAAAACGTCAGTATTGTCAATATTAAAAAAAAAAAATTACTTACACTCATGAGAAGACCTTCAAGCCAAGTGGTTCCAGTATCATGAGCAGTATTTACCACATCAATTATTTGATTTATTTTCCGCTGTATGCCAATCTACATTAAAAATAAGGGTACAAATTTGTTATCATAACGACAATAATATAAGTGTATAATAAGCCTTGCACAAGTAGATTTAAAAATACCTTCGACTCTGGCCAAAACCGTTTAAGTAGGTATATCAGCATACATAAATTTTCGGACCTAGTAGTTGAGCTTCTATGTTTTTACGCAAAAAAAAAAAAAAGAAAAGATAGAACAAACAAGAAAGGGAGCTAGCTCCGACAAGCTGATGCTAATATACCCTTGCAGACTTCAAACACGTCCAAAAAATACATAAAGCCTAAACATCATCGGAGCATTGACGATTTTTCTATTAATTTTTCATATTTTCGACGATTGTTCATATGACTGATTGTCTGATAACAACCACAGTGCTATCATTTTATTTCCAGGGTTATTAAAAAACCCCATATTCTAAAAATCGTGGTCGTGGGATTAAAAACAACGATGTTCACCGACTCCGAAAAAGTCTTCGGAAAAATCGATTTGAAGTTTTTCTATTAAAATACGTACAAATTCGGTCGTTGAAAACGCTGTAACTCCGTTAGTTTGACTCTGATTGACTCAATATTACACAATATTCTTGACATATTGGTCTTTGAGAAAAAAACATTTTTTTCCCCATCCCGCTTAAGGGAGTTTCAAAACATTCAAAAAAAAAAAAAAAAAAAAAAAAAAAACAAAAAAAAAAAAAAAAAAAAAAAAACTATCCAACAGTGTGTCCCTCAAATTTCAGAAACAAATTCAAAGTATTTTTGGAGTTACAGAAAAAAAAAGTGAGCCAGCATCAAAAAAAAAACTTAAAAAAAAACTTTTTAAAAAAAGAGAGAAAGAGAAAAAGTTTGTCCAATCTTCGAAGTTTTGCTCACTGTTTTTTTTATTACCATGCCGTAGTGCATTAGGAGTTCTTACCATATTACCGTACGATCAAGAAACAGTATTATCTGGAAGTTGTGCATCGAGAAGCAATACGAAGAAAAATTTGACCATGTCAACTTATTGCAACTTGGTTGCAAATCAACTAGTCTAAACCTTTGCAAAAAACATTTTTAACACATAGGTACTGACCCTGTCATTTTTTATACATGGTGTAAACCACATTTTCATAAAAACTTCGGTAACAAGTTTTTGAATGCCTTCTTCGTCATTTACACGTCGTATCATTTTAACGCAAATTTCCGGAATTTTTCCAAAATCTGGATACTCGATACATATATCTCTTAAAATTTTAATGACCCTTTTTCGTACAGAGACACCAGTATCCTAAAAAAAAAAAAAATGATTATTTAAGGGGTAAGACAATTATGAATTTAAGACATCTTACCAGTATCCGTGTCGATAGCATGTCATAATACTGATCGATTAATTCCTGATTACTAAGTACAAATTTTCCAACCAAATCTACCGCAGCTTCTCGTACTGAAATGGCTGTGTCTAAAAATTTTTGGTTTACTCCCATTTGCATATCCTTTCGTTTCAGAACTAAAGGATCAACTTCAACAATGTTAGCAAGGCATTTCATTGCACGTGTCCTCACTGCTATTGACGGTTCGCTAGGTTAAGTAATTGAAGGAAAAAGTAATAAAGTAATAAGAACTTTTTATAATCTATATACTCACTTAACGACTAAAATAATTTTTTTAAGCATCCATCAAAGGACTGGCTGAAAGGTCTTTTGGTGGCCAGATACTGCGCTATTAGCTGGGCATTGTTATAATCTATGTACGTTTTTATGTGCTGACTTGATGAATGGTTTTGTTCGCATAAAACAGCGAATGGTTTAATTTTGTTTATTAAGTATTGTTTTCTTGCATCCAAAACTTTAAACATTTCAATATTAAGTTTTGAATCACCAATCGAGGAGTTTCCATTTTTTTTTGTTTCTTCGGTATCAATTTCTTCACACGATCCAGAATCAGATGTGTCCAAGTATTCACCTAAAAAAATATGATTTAAATTATAATGGTTGTTGTTTGTAGTACGGATTGCAAAAAACAGATTCAGCCAGTATAAATCTGTTTACAAAGTTAGTTTACAATTAAAATTATTTTTTAATTATTTAAACAAATTGTTAGGAATTTTTTGTTTGGCTGTGCCGGTAGCTTTGTTGCCGAGTTCCCGAATTGCCCGCAGTCCATCAACAATAAATGTAGATCACTGTCTACGTTTCACAATTCAGAAACCTTCTAACTTTTCTAAAGTTCTATATAGTACTTCTCAAGAGTTGTCAAATTTACCTTTAATTTTTATGCAATATATTAGATCTTAGAGTATATAGTAGATCCTTATAGAAATAACATTTTAATATGCGTTGTTGTAACGGATTGCTTAATGTCGAGCAAAATGCATTTTGACTTAACAACATCCTAGCACATCAAACACAATAACAGCAAGCACAACATTATGCAATTAACTTAACCCGCAGACGTAATGCTCCTGTGATTCTTTAACAAGCTGTATTACACAATGATTCTGCAGTTGTTTATTGTGAAAAAAAAAATTTTTTATTGTTAACAAGAAAGGAAGATAGCTTTGGCACGCCGAAGCTTATATACCCTTGCAGTCATCAAATATATTGAAAAAAAGGCTATATAGGGCTGTATAGGCTATACAATATCGAAGCTATGACGACTTTTCTATTCATTTTTCATATTTTCGACAATTGTTAATATGACAGCTATATGATATACACTGCTGGTCTTGGGTTAGACGCACTCAGTTTTTCAAACAAATTTGATTTATGTTTATTATTTTAATGATTATTGAAAAAAAGTGAATATGCAAAAACATTGGCTATTTAATACTACTTCAATTATAATATTCAAAATATTATAAAAATATAACATTAGTTGTGTTTTCAAACATTTTCTTCAAGCAACTTAAAATAAGGCACATTTTTCTTGGTCAATAGAATAGACGCACTTAGACATAATATTTAAAAAAAAAAAAAAAACGAACTTATTTTTAACTTAAATTTTTAGTTGGTGTTAATATTTGATTTATTGGAAATAAAAAAAAAATATTTCAGTAGGGGAGGGTGGTCCCATACCGACCCCCTAAAAGGCAAAGGCGATAAAGGTGAGAAAAATCAATTTTTCAGTTCAGTTCAAAAATTTACTATGTAGAGGGATCAGTTTACTATACATCTAAATGATTAGTAAGTGCGTAGGTGCTTTGAAGCGTTAGATATTCAGGCAAATATAAAACTCTACTTTTTGGTCGTACTCAAAAGTAGTGGTCCGAAACCGACCCCCTATTTCTTAACAGAAAAATTTAATAACATAAAATAGAATTTAATGATTTTGACGTTTATTAAGAAATATATTGAAGGTTCTTTCCAGAAAATAAAAATTAATGTATGAAATAAAGGGCACTGTAGTCAATTCATGAAGTCTGAGTTGTCCTCTTTCTCATAGTAAGTTTTCGCGTTGTTTTCGCGTTGTTTTTCGAAAGCCGCTCGTTGATGACTGTCTCTTCGCTTTCTTCTGATGTTTTTTTTTGTTTCTGTTACTTTTCTTTACTGAATCTTGTTTACTTTTTCATATTTTCCCTCAAAAATACGCTATGACATATTAAGCTGCCAATAAATGGGGGTCGGTTTCGGACCATCACCTAGCGGTCGGTTTCGGACCACCACGACCTTTTCTGATTAACTGCTCGGCATTAACTAAAGACGCAAAGAGCGATGTAATTCTAATTATGTGAGTGAAAGCTAGGACTATCAACGATCAGAAAAATTTACTCTCCGATTTTTATGCGGAGAAAAAAAATTTAAGCTCAAGTTCAGTAAAGCTCAAAAATAAATGTCACAGGCGTTGAAACAAAACAAACGGAAAAATTGCAGTGAAACAAAATAAGTCAAAGTGGCTATCTATCTCCAAAATGTCTGTGTTATAACAGCTTTTCACTGAAGTTACCGACAATTCGGCTAGCATCGCCATCTCTGAGAAACATGGGGGGTCGGTATGGTACGACCGGTCGGTATGGGACCACCCTCCCCTAATGAGTCCTGCCTCCTTTGTTAGCAAATAACTTCATATATCCTGTCCTTCATAGAATAATACAGGGAATCTATGTATTTTAACGAAATCTCGCTCCAAGCACGTTTAATAGCTGCAGTTAATGTTTCCTTGTCTTCGTATTGCTTTCCTCCTTCGTATACCTTCCGCGTTAGCCAGCCCCAAACATTTTCAATTACGTTAAGATCTGGAGAATATGGTGGCCAGGTCATGATCTTAACGTTTTCACTTGGAAAAAACGACTTTACTTTTTAGTTTTTACTTTTTTACTTTACTATCAGAAATGCAGACCACCTAAAGCAGGGGTGCTCAACGCCTATGCACCGAGTGCACTTTTGTTTTTGTAGAGCTCTGTGCTTATGGGTAGTGCGCCCATAAGCACCGTGCATATGGGCTTCGATTTGCATGCGAAACAAAAACAATTTTGCTTGTTTCTTCATTACATCTCTGTCCGTCGTCACGCTTATCTGATCGCAATGTATTTTGTTTTTGGTTTTTACTCGAGCACATGCACTGAAACTTATCTTTCTGTCTGCGTTGGCTTTTGATTTATTTCGTGGTGGACCATCGAAAGTGTAAGGTTAAATTTTTTGGCGGATCAAAATGAGTGATGAATTAGAGAGCAGTTATTTTAGCATAAACTTTAAATGCGAAGTACAATGCGTAATATGCTTCGTAGTTCTGGAGGTAAAAACTTTTTTTTCTCTCAGTGCACAGCTGCGCCCCAACACAAACGCGCCGCTACATATGTACACGTTTTCTTGTGGATGTGTTAGTAAACGCACTGCCATAAGACGATCTTGAGCATCCCTGACCTAAAGCGTCTAAAAATCAAGAAAAAACCTCCACTGAATGCAATACGCAAAGAAAAACGGCTTCGATTCGCGAAAGAATACATGACGTGGGAAATTCAATCTGACACTCGGCCTAATGATTGGAGTTCTGTTGTTTTTACTGATGAAAAACGTTTTAATTTAGATGGCCCCAACGACTTTCAATATTATTATCACGATATGCGAAAAGATGAGCTATATTTAAGCCGCCACCACAGCCGAGAAGGTGGAGTAATGGTGTGGGGTGCCATCACGTTTTATGGAACAATTGACTTGATTTTTATCGATCAGAAGATGAACGGCGATCACTTCAAAACATTGTTGGAGTCCGTATTTCCAAAACTAAATGATCTCTTTGGACCAATTCCTTGGATTTTTCAACAAGACAATGCTCCTATTCATAACGCTCGAGAAGTAAAGTCGTTTTTTCCAAGTGAAAACGTTAAGATCATGACCTGGCCACCATATTCTCCAGATCTTAAGGTAATTGAAAATGTTTGGGGCTGGCTAACGCGGAAGGTATACGAAGGAGGAAAGCAATACGAAGACAAGGAAACATTAACTGCAGCTATTAAACGTGCTTGGAGCGAGATTTCGTTGAAATACATAGATTCCCTGTATTATTCTATGAAGGACAGGATATATGAAGTTATTGCTAACAAAGGAGGCAGGACTCATTACTGAAATATTTTTTTTTATTTCTAATAAATCAAATATTAACACCAACTAAAAATTTAAGTTAAAAATAAGTTCGTTTTTTTTTTTTTAAATATTATGTCTAAGTGCGTCTATTCTATTGACCAAGAAAAATGTGCCTTATTTTAAGTTGCTTGAAGAAAATGTTTGAAAACACAACTAATGTTATATTTTTATAATATTTTGAATATTATAGGGGAGAGTGGTCCCATACCGACCGGTCGTACCATACCGACCCCCCCCCATGTTTCTCAGAGATGGCGATGCTAGCCGAATTTTCGGTAACTTCAGTGAAAAGCTGTTATAACACAGACATTTTGGAGATAGAAAGCCAATTTGACTTCTTTTGTTTCACTGCAATTTTTCCGTTTGTTTTGTTTCAACGCCTGTGACATTCAGTTTTTTTTCGTTACTGAACTTGAGCTTAAATATTTTTAAAGTTTTTTTTCTTCGCATAAAAATCGGAGGGTAAGGTTTTCTGATAGTTGATAGTCCTAGCTGTCATTCACGCTATTAGAATTACATCGCTCTTTGCGTCATCAGATAATGGCGAGCAGTTAATTAGAAAAGGTTGTGGTGGTCCGAAACCGACCGCGAAGTGATGGTCCGAAACCGACCCCCATTTATAGGCAGCTTAATATGTCATAGCGTATTTTTGAGGGAAAATATGAAAAAGTAAACAAGATTCAGTAAAGAAAAGTAACAGAAACAAAAAAAAAACATCAGAAGAAAGCGAAGAGACAGTCATCAACGAGCGGCTTTCGAAAAACAACGCGAAAACAACGCGAAAACTTACTATGAGAAAGAGGACAACTCAGACTTCATCAATTGACTACAGTGCCCTTTATTTCATACATTAATTTTTATTTTCTGGAAAGAACCTTCAATATATTTCTTTATAAACGTCAAAATCATTAAATTCTATTTTATGTTATTAAATTTTTCTGTTAAGAAAAAAGGGGGTCGGTTTCGGACCACTACTTTTGAGTACGACCAAAAAGTGGAGTTTTATATTTGCCTGAATATCTAACGCTTCAAAGCACCTACGCACTTACTAATCATTTAGATGTATAGTAAACTGATCCCTCTACATAGTAAATTTTTGAACTGAACTGAAAAATTGATTTTTCTCACCTTTATCGCCTTTGCCTTTTAGGGGGTCGGTATGGGACCACCCTCCCCTAATTGAAGTATTATTAAATAGCCAATGTTTTTGCATATTCACTTTTTTTCAATAATCATTAAAATAATAAACATAAATCAAATTTGTTTGAAAAACTGAGTGCGTCTAACCCAAGACCAGCAGTGTAGTCGTACGACTTGGGTGAAACTAATTCGAAATACAAGAGTCATGAGAAAACCCTAAATTCCAAAAACTATGCTTTTCTGATAAAAAACAACGATGTTATCGTTTTCTTTCCGATAATTCTATACAGATTTTTCGATCTTTCCTATGGCAGCTCTATGATATACAGTGGTGGCCACGAGTTTAGCACACTATGCAATCCCCATTTTTGAACTCCAATTTCACCTTTCCCCGAAGATTTTTCGCCGAATTTTTTTTATATACGTTTGATCTATTTATAGGACAACATGCACCGTTAATTTTGTCCCATTCGCTTTTACCGTTTTCCTTTACCAAGCCTCTGAACCTAAATACCTCAAATTCAGGCTAGATACCAGTTTAGCACACTCTTCAAATTTTTTGTTTTTGACAACAGTGGTCTCGTATTTTTTGGTTAAAGTTAACTGATAATTCTTGTTGTCATTTAGAGAGTATAAAAAGATGTGTTTGCAATCCCACCAGCTTCTAAGTGCTTAGAAGGACAGCAGGAAGTCATCCAGACTCTTAAATCAGCTGGAAAAACGATTTTAGAGATTTCTGAAGACTTAAAATGTTCCCGCAAAATGGCTTACAATGCTCTAGGACATAAAAAAAATATAGCTGCCATAGGAAAGACCGAAAAATCTATATAGAATTAACGGAAATAATATGATACCATCGTTGTGATGATTTTTGGAATATAGAGTTTTCTAACGACTCTTGAATAACAAATAAAATTTCATCAAAATCGGACGACTATATCATTTAGCTGCCATATGAACAATAGTAAAAATATAGAAAATAAATAGAAAAGTCGTCATAGCTTCGATGTTGTTTAGCCTTTGTGTATTCTGTTCGAAATATTTGATGACTGCAAGGGTATATAAGCTTCGGCTTGCCGAAGCTAGCTTCCTTTCTTGTTTCCTATTCTTTGTGCAAATGAGTAAGCGTAAGAGAACCAACTCTCTCACACCAGGTTGGCATTTGAATGTGTGTTTTTTTTCCACTCATGCCGATGTCTAGTATGTAACATTGATCAGCGTCTAAATCCTAGTCGATATTACGTTGTCAGTTCAACCGTCTGTCTTTTTCTAAGAAAACTAGGTAATCATTTGTCGCTGAGACATTATCAAAAGACGAGTAGCCATTGCAGTTAAAATATAATTCGGGATCGGTCGAAAACCTTTATAAAATGTAATATACAAAATGTCAAAGTTTGGCTCACTGATTTCTTCGATTACCATGGCGTAATACATCAGGAGTTCATACCAATATGGTCGTACGGTCAATAAAAAGTATTATCTGGAAGTTATGCGCAGTTTGAAAAAAACCATACGAGGAAAACGCCTAGAATTGCGGAAAAACAATTTCGCATCATGTCACATCACAATGCCCTTGCTCACTCATCTTTGCTTGTGTGAAATTTTTTAGACAAAAACAACAACACAATCATGCCTTAGCCACCATATTAACCGGAGTTGGCCCCATGTGAGTTTTTCTTGTACCCATTACTTTTGGGATCTAAAAAATCTAAAAAAGGACATGGATTTGAAACGATTGAAGAGATAAAAACGAAATTAATGGAGGAACTCAAGGCTTTACCGAAAAGTGCTTATGGCAAAACTAACGGAGTGATAATTTTTTTCAATCTCTCGTATGGGAGCTATCCGATATAATCCCCCGATCCGGCCCGTTCCGACTGCATGCATGTACTGCATGCAATAACCACACAACTTTTGGGAAAGTTTTAGCAAGATAGCTTTAAAACTGAGAGACTAGTTAACATAGAATCAGACAGGATTCAGGTCGTGATGCTGATCAGGAATATATATAGTTTATGGGGTCTGAGGTGTGTCCTTCACTGCGTTGCAAACTTCTGATTGAAATTATAATACCCTTTGCTCTGCAAGGGTATAAAAGGACACGAATTGAATGAATTGAGAACGTTGAAAACAGAGAAGTTTAATTAGAATGATTCGAGTTGCAAATGTAAATAAAAGGAAATAAAAACAAATTAAATGCAGTGAATTTTCTTCGAGTCCGAAAAGGCTTTATATTTATGGATTTCTTTATTTAATTTATTTCGGCTTCTTTTATTAATTGGTTGTCCATATTTTCGTCCTTGTGCTGCAGTTCTCAAAAAAGGAATGTACCGAAATCCTAAGCAACAACTCGAATGATTCAAGTATACAAAGGCATTGACAAATCTTTCATTTCACTTTTCGTTTCGTTCATTCTCTCTCATTTCGTTTGACGGCTCAAATTATGAGAGGAACACAAGCTTTTACTCATACAATGTCATTTCATTTCTAGCTTTCAACTCACTCCATTCTTCTCCATTCGAATGCATTCATTAAGACGTATGTTATGAATGTAATCATGCAGATGTTTAGTACATACATACTTTAGGAAATCAGTGGTATCTGCTTCACTGAGTTGCAAACTTGCTGTAAATATAATACCCTGTGCAAGGGTAAACAAATTATGTTTTTTAATTATGGTTAACATACCATCATTTCTATGCTTAATACGACTTGTAGTATTTCTCAAAGTCAATCCTCTTTCGCCGTCCTTTATTCGACGTCTTTGATTATTTACATCCCGATACCATTGTGCCAAGTAAAAGTGTCGGGCATAGTCCCATATTAAATTTTCTTCTTGAGCGTTTACAGCCAAAAAATCGAGCAGAATTTGCTGGAGAAACTCAATTCTGTGCTCCTCCGGATGTAGTTTATAATGAGACTTTCAAAAATATAAAAATAAGATTATTTCTAAAGTGCAATACAAAATATATATATATTACTTACATTACTCGTAATTGAATCTCCCTCTTTTTCTTGTTCTAATTTTATTGATTTTATCATTGAATCGATTATGTTAACCTTACATCGAGACTCAACAGTGTCCTTACGCAGTCGAGCGGCCACTATGCCCAAGTAATCCAATGAAACTAAGCGAATACTCTGTTCTATACCTTTATCAGACACATAGCGAACTAGCATCGTTCCCAAAAGTGAAAGCAACAGTTCAGATGCGGGCCATTCGGGTTTGTTGACGGTGGCAAGTAAATCATGGATAAAATTTTCGAAAAGAGGTCGAAAATCAGTTTCATTAGACCGTGATTTGCATTTGTTTAAAAAGGTGGTTAAGAAATGCCCGCCAATACTGACAGCAACATCATACTTTTGGAGAACAAGTATATCCTGATTTGGTTGTAATATTTGTTTAGCAACACTTGGAAGTTCGTTGTCAATAGCAACATTAAGTTGAGTCTTATTACTTAGTTTTCCGTTATCACAAAGTGTGTCTGGTAAAATTGTAGCGCATTGAATCAATTGAAGCACAAGTGCTGTAACCATTTGAATATTTCCTCCGTTATTTGTTAGTTTGTATGGACGAAGATTTTTTTTGGATGAAGGTAAACGATCAATCGATGTCAAAATATCTCCTAAAATGCTGTTCCGAATTTTATCGTACCTTTCCTTGCGAAATATCTGAAAAGTAAAAAACATTTCTTCTGAAATATATTTATTTAAAAGTTGTAATTATAATATTAAATTTCTCATTTTTCCAATGGCAGAAATAAGATAAGTTTTTATATTTTCGACGATTGTTCATAACATATGACAGCTATATGATATAGTCGTCCAATTTTTATGAAATTTAATTCGAAATTCAATAGATCGATCATTAGTTAACTCTATATTCCAAAAATTATGCTTGTTTGATAAAAAAAAAAACAAGGTGTTATCATTTATATATAATACTTTTTGGGGTTTGAGGTGTCTCCTTCACTACGTTGCAAACTTCTGACTGAAATTATAATACCCTCTGAAAGGGTATAGACACAGCCAAAAATCGCTGCGCTGAAGCTCGTCTGCAGTTAAAAAAGATCATGCCATTTGGTGTAACCCAGAAACCCTTTACACCTTCATCAGCAGAGTGGACTATGTTATTTCACTCTATCTAACTAAACGACCAAGAGTGCATCTGTCGATTTTTTCAAGGTCTGATTAAATTGAGCAGAGAAGTGCCATCAAATTTTGTTTGCGGAATGAAATTTCGGCTGCGGAGACGTTGAGGATTTTGCGGAAGGCCTTTGGTGATTCTACCATGTCCCAGAAAAATGTTTATAAGTGGTACAAAGACTTCAAAGAAGGTCGGGAACGTGTTGTTGACTTGGAGCGCTCCGGACGACCATCGACGTCAACAGATGACCAACACGTCAATGAAGTAAAGGAATTAGTGCTCAAAAATCGTCGGTTGACTGTTAGAGACCTTATTAATATGATCGGAATATCAGAAGGATCTCTGAAAACCATTTTGAAAGACCATTTGGGCCTACGAAAAGTCAAATCTCGTTTGGTACCGAAAACGCTCAATTTCTTACAATTTCTTCGTGACCATTTCGACAAGAATTCGACGCATATCGTTCCGCAACCACCGTATTCTCCTGATTTGGCTCCGTGTGACTTCTGGCTATTCCCAAAACTCAAGAGATCAAAGCGGAATCGACGAGGTCGATTTGGACTGTTTCGAGGATTTGAAAAAGCGTTGGCATAAGTGTATTTTATCGGGAGGGGATTACTTTGAAGGGGATGAAATTGATTCAGGAGTATAAATAAAGAATTTTCACTTTACAAACAAATTCACCTTACATTTTGCCCACAGTAGTAAGTTTCAAATCCTCAAACAGCACGAAGGCTTAATAGAAATACATACCCTTAACCACAAGAACCCTCCAAATCTAAAATACTAACTTCCCTGTTACCAAAAGACTATGACAACCCATCCAAATAAAGGACGAACAGAATCAAAATAAATCAAAATCAAACAAAAATTTTTAATCATAGCGTCGGGCAACACCAATACATAGAAATAGCTTAAAAAGGTTGCACATACAAATGCCTTATAGACACTGGATCCACTTTTAATAATATGTTTTGAAATCCAATGGCTCTATTACATTGAAAAATTTGATTATATTACCCAGCAATTTTATTTTTTTTTAAACAAATGAACCATTTTTCCATATGTACTATACATAACTTTTCTAATACAGTTTCATTCCGAGTTTCAAAGAGTAAAGACGTGCGACAGACTTAATCTCCAACCAACAGCTTATCAGCTTGCGATCTATATTCAGATCAATCATCCGACTCGTGACTACCTCGTATCAACAACAAAAAAAAAAAAAGAAACAGATCAATAAGTAAGGAAAACTAACTCTCTGTGGCGCCCGAGCATAACGTTACCACGATGTCGCGACCACCCGACCTATTCCGGACAACGAACAGCACAATAACAACAGAACCAAAATATATTACCATCAGTAGAAAAGACAAGAAAACCTTTGAAAAGGTTTCTCCATTCGTTATTAAAAAAGTTGTAGACTTCGCCTGTAACGGAGCAGTCGAAACATGCAAAAAAAACAAGAGCAGGAACTCTCCTTATTAAAACGAAAAACACACTACAAGCCCAGACATTACTCAAACTAAATATCTTTCACGACTTCCCAGTCAGTGTAGAAGAACACAAAACGCTAAACACTTCTAAAGAAGTGATTTACTCCAATGACCTACGAAACATGGAAGAAAATGAAATCTTGGAAGAATTAAAACCACAAAACGTAGTTCAAGTTCGTAAAATTCTGAGGAAAAATAAAAATGAAATCACAGAAACCGGCTTAATCGGTAAGTACGATTTGGGACAATTACGATACCAAACAAATTATGGATAAGTTATGACGTCGATAATGTAAAACAATACGTCCCACCTCCATTGAGAAGTTACAACTGTCTCAAATTTGGACATCCCACTGCTTACTGCAAATCCGATAAAATATGCGCCAACTGCTCCGAAAAAAAAACACACAGAAGAGAACGAACCATGTACAAACACACAGACCTGCATCAATTGCAAATACGAGGAAGACGAGATCAAACATCACAACGCAATGGACAAAACCTGCCCCGCCTTCTTTAAACAAAAGGCACTAACTGCCATAAAGACGTTCGAAAAAGTCGACCACAAGACAGCCCGTTTCATCTACAACACTCGCTACATCCACCCACAAACTCCTTACTCTCTGAAAGCTGCGCTTCCACCCAAACCACACACTTCGGAAACAACAACAAATTCAACACCGAACACAAGGAAAATTATCAGCTACGTAGACTCTTTGGAACTCATGGACACCACGGCATCGACATCAAAACAATTCACACACTCTGAAACCGGTGAAAATTTAAAACTAAAAATATACTCAGCTAAAGAAAATAAACTAGGCATTCCCCTTAAATCAAAAGAAACAAGAAAGGAAGCTAGCTTCGGCAAGCTGAAGCCTATATACCCTTGCAGTCATCAAATATGTCGAAAAAAATACATAAAGGCTAAACAACATCGAAGCTAAGACGATTTTTCTATTCATTATACCCTTGCAGACAGACGGACCGACGTACAGATATATTTTGATTCAGATCGTGGTGCTGAGCAAGAATATGTATAAAATTCGATTTTTTTTTTTAACGCCGCCATTTTGTCAATTTTTGATATATTTTTTTTATCGTAGTTGATGGTATAGACAATATCATCTAGTTTAACGAGAATTCATTTTTTGATTTCATCCACGGAGAGGGCCGGAATCCATGCAGCAGTTAAGGCCCTTTTTTTAGCGCCGTAGGAGATCGACTTTAACTTAAAAAATATTTAATTTTTTTCTTTAAAAATTTCACAGTATATTCTTAAAACATGTATAAATATATTCTGAAAATTTGGAAATAATTGATCAAGTAGGTTTTTTTTAATAAAAATTCCCAAAAACCACCAAATTTCGCGCTTCGCTTGTGAAGTCAAATATAATCGTATCTGGCAATGCTGTATATCGATTAAAAGGTATTGGCAGGCGTCACCTTTAAAACAAGAAAGGAAGCTAGCTTCGGCAAGCCGAGATTATACCTATACCCTTGCAGTCATCAAATATGTCGAAAAAAAATACATAAAGGCTAAACAACATCGAAGCTAAGACGATTTTTCTATTCATTTTCCATATTTTCGACTATAGATCATATGGGAGCTATATGATATAGTTGTCCGATTTTGATCAAATTTAATTCGTAATTCAAGAGTCGTTAGAAAACTTTATATTCCAAAAATCATGCTTATCTAATAAAAAACAACGATGTTATCATTATATTTCCGTTATTCCCATTAGATTTTTCGATCTTTCCTATGGCAGCTATAAGATATAGTCGTCCGATTTTTATGAAACTTTTTTCTCAATATAAGGGTTGTTAAAAAACTTGATATTCAAAAAATCATGCTCGTGGGATAACAAACAACGATGTTATCAATTTATTTCCATTAATTCTATATATATTTTTCGATGTTTCCTATGGCAGCTTTATGGTACAGTTATCCGATTTTGATAAAATTTAATCCGAAATTTAATAACAGTTCGAAAACTTCATCTTGAAGAAATCAAGTCGATCTAATCAAAAACAACGGGGTGAGAATTTTTTATATCATTCTCTCGAATGGGAGCTATCCGATATAGTCGGCCGATCCGGCCCGTTCCGACTTATATATTGCGTGCAATAACTAACCCTTTTGGGAAAGTTTCAGCAAGATAGCTTTAAAACTGAGAGACTAGTTTGCGCGGAAACGGACAGACAGACGTATTCCGACTCTGCTCGTGATGATCAAGGATATATAATGGAAATGTGGGGGTTGTGGGCATAGTTTTGTTTTTGGCTTATAATTACCGAACTAGTGCATATTATTTGGACATATGGGTATCTGTGTAAAGCTAGAGACCTAAGCTTACTAATTATGAAGAAACATACTTGATTTCGTCATGCGAAAAAATTTCATATGGACTTTTGTAAAATCGTAATTTTCAGCTACAATTTTTTTTTGGGGGGTTGTGGGCACCCTGGGAAAAATGCTGCAAATGGAATAATATGGAAAAAAAAACCGCAACCAATATCAACAAAATGACAATTTATTTATTTCAAAGACAACATAGGCGTTATTCATCGTCGGAAACACAATTTTGACATGTATAATGACTGCCCCGCATGTCCACACATTTCGGATGAAAAGCTCGATCGCAGATGTCACAATTGATGGAGTTGGCTGCGGTCCTTTTCCAAGAGCCTAAGATTTCTACAAGAATGTTCTAGAGGGTTCCAAACAAATTTTGAAAACAATTTTACAAGAAATTGTAGGTAATAAAAAAATTTGCCAAAAAAAAAAACGGGTGCCCACAACCCACCCAATTTTGGTGCCCACAACCAACTTTCGCAGACATTTTAAGAAGTAATTAAAAAATGTATTTGCATAAATTTTTTGGTTCAAATCGATATTGTTCCATTTAGTATAATGCTTTGACTAAATAAAAATGCATTACACTTACCTTTTTAATCGATTCACTTTAATTGATACATCTTTGAATAAAGTTTCACCAACTTTTCCAAGCACAAAAAAAAACCAA